TCTACTTTTTTATAAATAGAAAACAGAGGTGGATAAACCAGGATTTGTCATTTTAGGACGGAATTGAGATCGTTGAATCGGAAAAGATGAAATTCGAGTCACTGGAAGACGGAACTCAACGACTCCATTTGGCCAATGTGGACTTCTTCAGTGAAGGATACTACCGTTGTGTGGCCACCAACGAGCACGGCACTGCCTCAACAAAAGCTGAACTTGTCATTGACGGTACGTAACTTCGAGATGTAGTGGGGATTTCGATGAAGGGGTAATTGGGGGGAGGGAGTGGTAGAAACAAAAATTAAGTTTTAAGAGAAGTTTCTTATTTAATCCGGAACTTTATATGATTAGTGAACGACTATATAGAGTTCCGGAAGGGCAGCTGGTAGGGTGAATAACGGTCGAGGAAATCCTCCACCATGGCTCCGTACTGTGTGAGAATAGTTTCAAGAGTAAATGTCCGCACGAGGGAGCGTGACTGAACAGGCGAAAATCCTCGACGAGTCATCGACAAATCCTAGACCGATTTTCACCCTGGGGGCTGAGTGCTTTTGACTAGAATTGGACTGCTTTCGAGCAATTCGAAATATCAACGGAATGAAGTCAAACAAGTTCAGGATTTTTGTTTTTTTTTGTGATTTTTTTTCGTAAAAAATATGAAAGCGTAGGCAAAATGTATGCAAATCTAACACCTCGGTTCCTTCTGTGCATATCAATATGTGATACGGTTTGACAAGAAAAATAGAATATTTATCACTAATTTGCTATAACACGAGATCTTTGAAGAAGAGAACCAAAACGGCAATTATTGATGCTTTACCCTACGACTGGCTACGGTTTCAATTTACATACGGCTACTGCATTAAATTGCGATAGTATCCGATCAGCGTAGTGATTGATCCATTTTCCACGTCGATTCATCACCTAAATTATGTCATCTGGGACGGTGCGACAAGAGGTCCGTAGCGCGGCGCGACGACACAGACGCAAAGGATCAGTGGACGAGTTGCAGCGCATGCTGTCTGACTGGGACAAACTATAGTACATTATTTACCATGATGCGAAATCACTGCAGCACACGCTACAACTCGTCCACTGACCCCCTGCGTCTGTGCCGTTTCGCCGCGCGACGTAGGATGGGAATAACCATACGCGCCAAGAAGCACTTACCAAGACGGCCAACGCTCGTCTGCCGAAAGGCATTCCGCGATCCCAGTTCTGGTAGGTGAAAGGCGTCCCTGTAACGGCCAGTTATACATACAAGTTGGAACCTTGCCAAGAAAATACTGTACCATCCATCCATTGCCATTTGTCGCCGTTATTGGAACGACCGAATGCTCCCAGCATCACGAAATCAAAGTGCGGATTCTTTTCGCGAGCCAGATCTAGAAAGTTCTCAGTAGTTGATGTTCCCCAGGACCAATCAATATATCGATTTTTGAAGTGGAATCAATTGCGAACCTTTAATGAATTGATTCTCTAGCTCGTCCCCTATGCTGGCCAGCATAGCGTCATGATTGCTTTCAGCGCCTGAATATTGGAAATTATTTTTGAAATAAACTTGCTATCAGAAATCCTACCGTACCCAGCTGAAAACATCGATTGTCCGCGTCCAGTATGGTCATATTGGTGCGTGTGATGGCCCGGTAGCATGACTGCGTGGCGTCCATATACATCCAGTGCTTTGGGCAATACCGTATCACAGGACGGTGCAGTCGCTTTTCACAGATTACGGTAGCCGGCTCATCGCATGCCGCATTTTGCCATTCTCCGCGGTTGTCGACTGTATATGGACGCATTGTTTGGAGCGAGTCAAATTGAAGCTCCTACGCCATTCCCCATCCGGTGACTTTGAAATCGACGTGACCCGATATTTCTCGTGAAACGAACAATTTTGGGCCTGAAAATGGAAAAGATACTTCTGCTCTGTCTTGACCGCATGGCGAGAATCCCTGTGCACAAGCGACTGAATTACGCTACCTTCGGAACTCCATGCTGTAGCACAAAACCGGAGAGAAAGTCCTGCGCTCCGTCGATGATGTCGAATCGCGCCCTGGCGTAATACAGCTTCCGAGATTCCGCAAAAATTCTGTCGATCTCAAATCTAAAGATTACGCGACTGAATCTGTCTGTGTTGGTTTCTTTCATAATAATAAGCGTTGTTTCTTGCGATTCATTATCCAACCAACCGAGCAGTTTGGCCATAATACCCACCCTCAGCCTTTCGCAGGTTGTCCATATACTTTGCGAATTCGGCGAATCGCTGGATCCGCTACTAACGAATCGCGGGATTAATGACTGACACCGGACTTTGATGGAATATAGGCAGCAATGACTGTTGCGTGCTAACCTTTCAGCACTGCTTATTGTTAGAAAGAGCGATTTCCAAGGGCAGAATTTTTTGGAACGCTGTGCCGCAGTGAAATTTGCCCAGATGTGAAAGATTTGAAAAGTTAACAAAGTAATCTTCTATTTAACAAATCAACAAATAAATTACTACCAATTATTATAATTGAAGTTGAAAATACATAAAAATAATATAAAAGAATCAATAACAAAAGTTCACTTCAAACGTGTACATAAAAAGTCATACAAGAGCGGCAAACTTACTGCTAACGAAGCTGTTCTCTGATTCGCATTGTATTCGCAATAGGTGTGACGCGTTTGAGAGTCTAAAAAAAGGAGCACTGAGGGTCTTCTTAAGTCCGAACCAACACCCAAAAGTGACACAAGCAAGCGGGAACAGTAGTGAGATTTGTATAGGATACGTCTGCCAAAGCCTCTATTCTTCTCAGTGGGTTCACTCTGACCCCTACTCCCCTCCACTCTTGCATCCAAAAATAGCTTTAAGTTATCAGGGAATATGTGTTCAAAATGGGGGTCGGATACATGACGCAACCGCTAGGAGGTCCAATTCCATGGAACAGATTTCTTCCCTGATTCTAAAGCAACATACTGAGACAGGAATCAAATTTCTCCAGCGTCAGCTTAGCGCCTTCCCCTATGCCGTTCGATTTGTACCAGATTCGTCTGGGAGGGTAAAACCGCCGACTTCTGGACCCCTCGACTCCCATCCTAGAACAGGAACAACTTCACACCGGAGTCGAATCTATGACGTAACCGTCAAAAAATCATCAAACTTTTTTCATACTTCATGTAGGCAAATATAAATAAATGGATAAATAAACAAATACGAATAAATAAATCAATAGCTACGCTGAACTTACTTCTGACAGTACAGATGAGCATCGTGATGTGTCATTTTTAACCGAGAAACATAATAACACATCTTGCCCTTCGGATCGTGTTTCCATCGTGGTGGACATGACGATTCAGCCAGTATTGAGCAGAATATAACGATACTGTAGACGAGAATTTGTGCAATGGAGATCATGTTGAATCGTGGAATACCAATAATAAATGCGTGTTCGGGCGGATATCACCGTAGTACCATTTAAACGTCAATTCACCACCTAAAAATTGCTTTGACTCCCGAGTTGAATTATTAACGTACGCAATGTTCACACGATTATGACAATGGGAATGCAAACAAACACGTCATAAGGGAATATGTCTGCACTTTTTCTTCTCAGAAATAACTTCACCTATTTTCAGGTGATCGTTCTTTGAGCAGAAAAATCGTACCCGAAGAAGCAAAAGAACCAGAAGAGTGTAAGCCACGAATTCGACGTGGACTATACAACATGAGTATCCATCAGGTAAGATGACGTCATTGTTGGTGATTCGAGTACTTAAGTCGGTATGAAGTGAGTACGTGCGTGCGCAATGTCCCGACGTCAAATGTCACGTGCATTCAGCTAAATTAATCGGCGCGAATCCCAAGTTTATATAGCAAATTTTCACATCCGAGTGGGCGGGCACAGCCGACGTGGGACGAACAATTTTAATCAGCTCAGACGGCTAATCACGACAAAAGGGATAATTTAGTCTAACAAGATGGGACGAGAAGAGGGCTAAATGCTCCCCATTAACAAATTTTGTTGGAATACGTGGGTAGACGACTTTTTTGGGATTGCTGATGAGGTTTAGCGCGTGTTTGGCTTGAAACATAGGCTTTCAGCTCACTCGGGTTCGGCACATGAAATGGTTTTGATCAATGGTCAAAGGTGACCAAATTGGTTGGCTGTAGAACGGCAGAGTGACCCTTTTTAGAGATATCGGCGCTAACGCAAGATACGGGGCATTACGGTGCCAATGCATTTTACGTTGACTACAGCCCGTTGTGCGCACACCTCTGACAACTTTCTATTCTTTTTGAAGATAAAAAATTATTCCTCAATAACACCACTGGTAATGGCTGCACTGTTTTCTGGACAAGGTATTGATAATTTTGGAACATGAAAATTGCCAATAAATCGACCAAAACGTGTCCCAATCGGGTGAAAGTCTGACGCGCATGCGCGTCATGCTGTCGTCAAGTGTTAAAACCGCGTGAACATCTTTTCTTTTCTGTTGAAGGTAGGACTGAGCCTTAGGCGAGAGACGAGGCACTCCAAGAAATGTGAGCAATCTTCGTTTTTCTCGGAGTTCCTGCTCCCTCCCAGGCTTAATGTTAGTCCTACAAGATGCCCCCACATCTTGCGATAGCGCCTTCATGGCATCAGTGAGGGAAAATTTGATAAGCTCAAACATTTAATATGAGCTCTTTGCATTCCTAGCCACTTATTGATTTGGCCTCCACAATCGTATTTTCAAACCTAACCCATTTCACGTTTCCGGAACTTGAGGTCAATTCTGAGGTTTCCTTTCTTCTTCAATTTTGCAGCGAATTTGAGCACAGCAGACTTTCCTCCTGTAAAGGGTTCACTTATCGATAACGCTGGTCCTTAGGAATACGAAAAACCTTTATATAAAAAGCTCGTACACTGGGGAGCATCTACAAGTGCACGATAAGCTGCTTAGTCAACGAAAAACACTTCGAGTTTGCACGAGACTTTGAGCAGTTCATCCCTTTCGTTGCACACATGAAATAAATAAACAAAATGTTGCGAAACATTGAATCAAATAAACACGAACTAGGAACGATCAAAAAAGCTGAAAGGAGAGCGGTAAAAATGGCGAGAAAGGAGGGAAGAGAGAAACGGTGGTTTGAAAGTGACAGTCGGGGTCCTTTTTTCTGCTAAGGTATGTAGTGAGAGGTGACAATCATAGTTACTGGGACCGTAGTCATTCTCTGGAGTACCCCGTTTATCCCTAATGGTGTTGATGTTTGACCAGAAAGACACATAATTTGGTTGTTTTCTGACCTTAGCTAGGGTTATCAGTACTCTGTTATCTAATACCAAAAATTGTCCTCGTGGGCCAGCCATGAGTGGGAGTAAATAACGGCAAACAGGACAGCTATCATGCACTTTTGAGTACTGAAGAAAACATTTTCATCCTGGAACCCTTGCAAAATGGACTCGATTTAGTTCAAAAACGGTTACCACAACTACGACACGACGACGTCGGCTGCCTTGTCGCCCTTCCACTCTCTTATGCTTTTCAGTGTTTGCGTCGCGGCTTAACCGCTGTCAACAAGCGCCCCAGACACCGCTAATCTTGCGGTTTCTCTTGAAATTTGAAAAGCCATTTGTGGCAGCGTCTTATATCTCGTGGAAGTTCAAAGTGCTTCGACGGCATGAAGATTTCAAATGTCTGAAAATTAAGCGTTTCTGTGAGAGCTGACGAAGAAACTAGAGCCGGTTTGTGTTCAATTGATGTCCATTTTGAGATCAGCATTGGGTCCCCTGGCCCTCCGCTAAGTACTCCTTGCTACCTAATACCTACTGCCGTTTCCCTGAAAACGTTCATGAAGAAGATTGAGGTTGGTAAGAATCCATTTCCTGCTATTTTACTGCTTTTCAACCACGCCAAACTGAGCTGCCATCCACAAGCGCTGTAAAATTCTACTCTTGGGAATATAGGGAGATAAGGAGAATGAGAAGGCGCAGTGTCCCAGAATTACTTGAGTATACTTTCGTTAGTTGAGGATTTATCAAAAGCATCGTCCATACTCTGCACACTTGGGTGGGGAAAGGGTGGGGAAGGATCGGAAAACTCGCGAAAGCAGAAAAGGTATGTTTTCGATCAGAAGAATCGGGAAATAGAATGGGGGAATAGGCGCAATGATCAGAAATGCGTTTAGTAATTGGGCCCCCTACCTTCTAGTTTTTCAGACACGAAACCCATTTAAACTTTAATGCATACGTGCTTATCCGCTGCCAGCAACAGGATCTCCTGGCGTTAACACTCGGTATAGTTCGACATCCTTATGCGCGCATGTTTAGCTCTCTCTATGGCTCGAAAACCGCCGACTGATGAACGCGGCCATAGACATCAGAATATAAACCACAGGCGAATCTGAGAAATCAGCTGAGGCACAGGTTTTCCCATCACCACCGAGAACCCGAAAATGAGCATCTTGAAGACAATCATTGGGCTAGCTCGAGACTGAAGCTCCAACCCCGGAATTAATCACGTCATAGGGCGAGCAGCAATAAATTTACGGAGCAGACACCATCGAAAGGCGGCACAGCGGGTTCCGTAAGTGGGTTTGCAGGTTTTATAACTAGGTGTTGAGTCAGCAATGAGGAGGGAAACCAGCCAACAAAGCGAAGTGACGAGCGTATGTGCAAATCGGGCGACAAATGTACTCTCAATGTTGTGAATTGGAAGAAAAAACGCTACCATTTTCTGTTTTTCTGCCCCACTTGACAAGTCCTCGTGGGCACTTGATGATTGTCTGACTCACGAAATTGGGAAGAAACTTCTGTTGCAACTTTGTTTTTGCCTGGACTGGAAGTGTCTGTCGAAACCCCTTGCAAAGAGCGTGATTCACAATTCTAACTTCTAAAATTCGCTTACTCGATCTGGCGATGGAACCATTTGTAATCCCTAGAGCCTAAAAAGGTAAGGCTGCGAATTTGAGTCTCTGACAAGGATGTCCTTCGTGGAGCCAATCCCCTCCTTCTCAACCCCCCCCCCCCATCGCCTGTCAAAATTCTACGCACAAGGCCATACATCAGATGGTCCCACATAAAATTTCCCCGGACCGCGATCAATGTTCTCATGGAGAGCATCTACTTGTTTTTGAGAAATTTTTCAGTATTTGCCTGCATGTGAGGTCATGCGACATTGCGAAATGTCATGTTCGAATATAGAGTTTTCGCCGGAGGTTGTTTGCATTGCCTGACTTCGCAGTTTCTTTTGGTGTTTGTAGATCCAATGAATCAGCGGAGGTAGCGTCAGTTAGGCTTACAGCGGGATTTCTATAGGGCCCTTGAGTCACTAAAGTGGACATTCTTAGTCAGACTCAACCCCCACCTTTCCTCCAGAGGAAATCGCTTAGCCGGGTGATTCAGATATGCGCCAACCCACAACACCTAATTAGCCCGGAAATCTAAAATTTGGAAAAAAAAGTCGGTGCGTTTTAGTTCTTCTCATCAGGTCGGGTTACCTAAAATAAGTACTATTTCCAATTGGTTCTGTGCGGCCCCTAGCTTAGACCCCTAGGTTTAGCAGGAGCCATTCTGTAAGCTAAGTCTGAGCCTGAACCGAAGCATAACCTTAGGCTCCAATCATCGCGCAGCTCTGAGGGCCAGACCTAGGGAGGAGAACTGAACGTCCCCCTGAAAAAGCACTACTGTTACTGTTTGTCAGTTTTTGTTTTTCTGAAAATTTAGCTAATTATTTTTTGGGGTAAATTGTCAATAACATCTGCCAACTGAAGCAAAACACAATTCTCTTTCTTCTGAAGTTTGTTTATTTTCGATGTCCAAAGCTCTTTGATGATGGCGGCTAATGTTTGTCAGCGGTAGTCGTGCTCCTTCCACCAATGCGGTTTGTTTATGCCAGATATGAAAAACCGCAGGGTCAAGAAGGTGTCAAGCACCGACTGGGTTTTGTTTGTGTTAGATAAAGGAAGCCGCAAGCGCAAAGTGATCTGAAGCCCTAGCTGGAGCCTGTTTACGTCAGATACGGAAGACCGCAAAGATAGGAAAGTGTTAAAAACCAAAGAGCAGCGCTAGCTGATGTTGAAGACGGCATTCGGAAAATTTGAAAGGGAATTTCACTTGAAATGTAGGCAACGATTCAACAAGTGGAAAATAAAGGCAATTGGGTTTATCAAAGTGAATTCCACGATGAGGTTGCAGACCGAAGAAGGAGAAACCTATCTAGTAGAAAAGCAGGTCCACCTACACGTTGTGGACCGACACCAGCCAAAAGTGTATGCCCCCCGGCGATCTAGCATGGTCCTCCCCGCGACGCTATGTGGCACGTCCAAAAAGCATAAGTGGCTCACTACTCGCCGCAACTCTCCACCCGCTTACGAGGAGTCTTCAGGACATGGAGCGCTTTTCCAAAATGATTTCCTGCACTTTGCAGAGACTCATGAGGAACACAAAACCATGGTCCGTTTTTCCTGAACGCTTCTAGGAAGGTCAGAATAGTGGAGAAGAGATGGTCCAAAGTTCGATCCTCCGTGATGTCTAATTTTTGCAATTTATGTTGGCGCCTCCAAATTGTGTCCAAATGGCACCAGCGTCGATTAACATGTCATCCTCGTAATTTGGCGACAATTTGAAGGCAAAAAATTTGCCACCAGGCGGTTTAACTTTGGGTCCGTTTCTCACGCACTGTTTTTGAGGTTCCCAGCCAGTGTCAGCAAAAACTAGCAACCATAGTTTTCTGAACACGTGACCTCCAAAGTGTTCCCCTCGCATGAGCCTTTACAACATGCAAGAAACCATTTCGGAAAAGCGCTCTATGACCTGAAAGACCCTCCTTGATAGAAGAGAGAGCGTTAGCGTTGAGAACGGCAGCATCCGCTCTAAGTCGCATCAGTGCGTAAATCACCCGGCAAGCAAGATGTTCAGTTTCTCGAGCTCGGGCAGTTCTACACGATTTCTACTCACCTCGTCACCACTAACAACCTCTACCTTTGACCATAAAGGGCTTGGCCTTCTGATTTAACTCCGAAGATGATATGAATATAACCACGAACGATCGTATAACTTCGTATAATGTATGATAATTTTTTGGGATGCGGCACGCATTCTACTTCCATTTGTACATTCGTAGTGGCGTTTGAATGCGATGTGGCCTATACAATGACTTGCGGGGGCCAGCCGATGTTCAAGTCAGTGTTTTTATCCTCCCAGACAAGTCTGGTACCAATTAACCGACCCCGGAGGGATGGAAGGCTTGGTTGGCCCGGGCGACTCACGACCCAGGATTTGATCCCCGGACCGCTCGCGTGGTGAGCGCGCCACTTGTCACTACACCACTTCCGCCCTTACACTTCATAGTAATACTAATAAATTTTATATTGGAAACAAAAATAGTAGACATAAAAATAACAACAAGGACGACCAACACACAATTTTTGAACCACATAATCACATAGCACCATGTCCATTTTGGTGGCAGGATCACCTGTCCATCAGGACGTTTTTGGTGAGGAAATCTATGTAGAAGGAATTAGCTTGGCAAAGGCTTGGAGTGTTTCAACGAGAGGTGTGGTCGTGTGGAGGCTCTTTCCAGGAGGGAATGTCATGCTAAATCCCAATTTTTCCTCGACACAGTAGTTGGTCTTGGTTTGAGTTTCCCTATGTCTTGATAAGACGAGGTTTTCAAGATGCATGGCTTTCATGCGGGCGATTGGAATTGAAAAACCACGTGGATCGGGTGGCTGCAATGGAAAGTCAGTTGTTTTGCTGGAAACACGTCGTTCCATGGTCAGAATAAAGCGCCGCAGGCATAAACAGGGCAAAAACATGAGGGATCAGAAGGACAGATTGTCCGCAGACGGGTTAAAAAGTGTTAGTTTAGAGCTGCGTATAGGAATAGGTATTTGAACATAAACCGTACCGTAATGGTATAAATTTATTGGTAAAGTCACAGGTGCGCATGATCAAGCCAAATCAATGCTATCAGGGCTGCACCTTCAGTGCCTAAAATAGAATCGAGGTTTTTGTCGAAACAACCGCATCTTTCTGGAGACAAATGCCTTCTATACCTAATTATTTCAGGGAAATGTCGGTCGAAATGATCGTATGTGCCACTGGTTGGCCCACACCAACTGTCAAATGGTTCAAGGTAAGCAGTAATCCATTTTTTCACTTTAGGATAACTTTTTGTATGATGATGCCATCCATGCTATATCTTAGGACGGCCAAGAGCTCGTGTCGGAAGGTTCTGACGGTGGTTTGGTAATCTTTACCGATGATCGAGGCATCCACCATTTGGTCATTCTGAACGTGTAAGTGTCTTTGCAGTGATTCAGGTTACTGTAATTGAGTGTGTCTATACTCGACGACTGTTTTTAGAAGCCCTAAAGATGAAGGCGAGTACTCCCTTGAAGCCACTAACAAATTGGGCTCCGCTAGAACCGAAGGCGCTTTGAGTGTGATTCGACCACGACAAGTTGAAGGTTATGGCCCTGACGACAGGTACGGTAATGTCAAAAGGGTTGCTTACTTCTGCTGGGAAACTTATCAAAATCGATTTTTTCAGGGGTGGCATGCCATTCCCACCAGGATTCGTGCGGCAGTTGAAGAACAAGCATGTGTTCACCAGGATGCCAACGATCTTCGATTGTTTGGTGGTTGGATATCCACCACCAGAAGTCGAGTGGCTCCACAACGGCAAGAGAGTTGTACCAAGCGGGCGAGTCAAGATCCAGGTTCGTCTCCCATCGTATTTTTCAAAAGTTCCAGTCCAGGAAACCCTCATTATTCAGTCCTGTGGCGGCGGATCACATGCCTTGATTGTTCTGGACACCACCGTCGATGACGCCGGCGAGTATGTGGCCGTGGCCAGGAATTGCCATGGCTCGGCCAGTTCATCCGCCATCCTTGACGTCACTGGTATGACACCCTTTTAATATTAGTCCGCTGGAAATTCAGCTCTTCGTGCGGGCAGCTATCCAGTTCCAAATTTTCTTTATGAATCTCGAAATCTGTTAATTTTAGTTCCTCATCTTGACAACATCAAGTTCAACGGAGAAATCGATGTAACACCCTACCTAACCGAAGAATACGGATTCAAGAAGCTCAACTATGCCAGTAAGTTGAAAGCAACTACACATATAGTTGGCTGTAAATGAATAGTCCTGCCTTTTTTTCGCCCAAAAAAAAAATATGGAAATTATTTCAACATAGATCTAAATCTAAAATCAGTCACCGTTCCGGCTCAATCATGCCTCCTGCGGCAGTTCAACCGTTGAGCTGGGTAACTGCGCCATTCAGCCAATTCGTTCGTCTCACTCTCACGCCCGTCCACTTTACTGTAGGCCTTTGAAACAAAATTGGTATAGGCTGTGCGTTTGAGAATACCGTATGATTTGTTCGCAAAGCTGGAAGCAGAGTCAACCCTGCGTTGCGCAGTTCTCAACGGCCACGTTGCGCAGTTTCGCCCGATTAGACACGTTCTCTCGCGCGAACATTCACACTCGCATGCTCGAGCCGTCTGCGTCTCCGCCCATACAGCGTGCGTTGAGGATCTCTCAACGTGCCGTTGCGAACTGCGCAACGCAGGGTTGACTCTGCTTGGTAACTTCAGACAGAGTTGTATAACTTCGTAATCATGTATCTACGGATACTTCCATTTGTAAAGATCAGCTTCAAATGCCCTCTACTTCGCTTCAATGGATTTATACTACCATATTTTGATCAGACTTACGCTTATGGGTCATAGTTAACTATACGGTTGGCGTGTCTCTCTCAAGTCTACAATGGTCGCGTTTCATTCTCGCTAGTCGCTAGTTCAAGACAGTCGCTAAACTCGAAGGCCGTCCACGTGAGTGCTCGGGCGAACAGAGAGCTGCTGAAGATCATCCAACAGAATTTCTATTGATCACATTGCCTTTCAATCGATAAGCTTGAAATGGATTCAGAAAAATTTCAGTCCGAATGATAAATTGTACTTAAAGCAACAGTCCCAGCAGGTGGGCGTGGTCGGAAACGACTGCAATCCCTCGGCCGATTCCGACCACGCCCACTTCAGCTCCCTCCCTAGCGGCTTTCCAAGGTGAGTTTTTGTTCAGTCACACTTCTTACGTTCTTGACTAGGGGCTGAACAGCTCCGAAGTGGGAATCGGCCGAGGGGATTGCAGCCGTTTCCGACCACGCCCACCCTGCTGGGACTGTTGCTTTAACTACAACGCTACTAAAATAGAGATTTACAACGCGTTGACTGCATAATTAATGTAAAATGTGCAATTTTCCTTTCAAACGTACATTTCGTAGGTCTCCCGACACCACCAGATCGTGGTCCATTCATCAAGGAAGTCACCGGTCACTACCTCACACTCTCATGGATCCCAACGAAACGGGCACCACCTCGCTATCCTCAAGTATCCTATGTCATCGAGATTCGAGAACTTCCTGAGAAAGAATGGACTTTGGTAAGTGCAACCATCTTCTTTATTGTCGTCACTTTATGTGTTCCGTCTGCACTTGTACACCATCGTTCTACTGTTCAGCTTGATTACAACATTCCTGAGCCAGTATGTAAAGTGCGAAATCTTGAACTGGGCAAATCGTATCAATTCCGTGTCCGAGCCGAGAACATCTACGGAATTTCCGATCCTTCACCAGCCTTCACCACCCTCAAGGTTTGTGATAAACTCATTCCGCAATCCCGCCCATAGGCTCTTAACCTGTTGATGTTCAGGTTAATGGCACCACCACAACCAGTATTGGACAAGAACAAGAAGGTTATCCCATTGCTCGATCCCATCAGAGAAAGCCATTGATCTTGCGGCATCGCTGACCATATGGTACGTTAACTTACTTGCTCATGCTGAACAATATGGTACGTTACTGTTTGACTTAATTAGGTTGGGTTAAGTTACCCGTGGCTGAGAGAAGAATAGTGCTTGAGATCCACGCAATGTGCAAAAGGCAAGCAAATACACTGAGATCATTTTCGGGGCTGAGATACTAGACAAGTTTATTTCTGACCGGGGTTTGTCGCGGGATTTGGGCAGTTTTTCAAGGATTGGGAATCGTCGAAGTGTCAAGACGAGTGAATTCTTGATTTGTGAACGAATAACTTATTAGTCCTAGTAGCTAAGAGGATCGATTTTATGAGAAGTTCTTCTATTCCAACTAAAATTGGTTAGGTATCGAGAAAGGTCAACCGTCCCCGTTGGGGTCAAAGCAGTGCGTTATAGCCGGTTTATTTTTAGCCCTTAAGATCTGAGAGGAACTAAATTACTTTGAGGAAATTTTTTGCAAGATAGTAAAACCCAACGCTGTAGTTAACCCTCTAGGTTCTCTCTGATCTCTAGGTTATTGATTTTTAAGTTGTATCTTTCCAATTCAACTACTTCATCTCGGCCTACAAAAGGGCCTGAGTACTACCGTGGTCACTTTATCGTATATATTTCCTAGAAGAAAATGTTTTATGGCACGCATCAGGAAAATTGCAGATTTTGGTTTTTCATTAGTCATCTAATGGCTTTCAGCTTGTGCCCCATGGTTTGCCCCTGGAGTGGTCGAAAAGCGATATTGTGCTGAGAATGATACTCTCACGTTAACATTGAACGTTGTCGGTTATCCGGATCCTGAAATCAAATGGAAATTCCGAGGTACGCCGTAATATCGATTTTTCTTCCTTTTTTCCCTAGTACTTGATTGATAATTGATTATTCGTTGTAGGATGGGACATTGACTCAAAGAGCCCTACGTCACAGTACAAGGTCTATACCATCGGAGGCAGTGAGACCACCTTGATGATAAACGCCTTCACGAAGGTCAGCAATCAATTTATTGATCCACGTGATACGGTATTCATATAGGGAAGCTTCAAAAAAGGTCTAACAATGAAAAGGAAAATTTTTCAGGAAAATGTCGGTCAATATCAATGCTTTGCAACCAACGTGTACGGTGAGGCTCAGCAGAATATCATGGTAGATCTGGCTGGTAAGTTTATTGTGCAAATCGTCTCCTATACTAGAGCTACATAAGACCCAATGGTCAATCTGAAACAAGATTTTAAGTTTCGTCCAAGCTTCATCCACCACTCTATAACCGAACGTTCTCCGATGCTCAACCGGTGCGATTGGACGTTCGCGTTGAAGGACAACCGTTCCCGGAACTCAAATGGATGAAGGTATTTGAACAGCCTCGTTTGGGCCTCTCAATGAAGGATCTTCTTCAGCCTACTTTATGCAACCTTATTTTGACATATTTTGGGTAGGAACGACCGATCAGTAAGTTGGCAGCATAGGGGATGAGTGCACCCGTCAGCCAGACCGGGCTTATTTTTTTGAGGAGCGGAATAGGCCAAATTTTGTAAGTATCCGTGTCAGTGAGGGGTCGCGCTTCGATTTTTTCTGAAACAAAAGATTATTTCGAGAATTCTCGATCTCAATTATGTCTATCATTAGAAGGAGAGATCGAAAATGCGTGTGGCGGGTATGGTTTTGATGAGTGATTCGACGGTTCGGCGGTGAGCGGCATTGAGATCCTAACCTCCCAGCGCGGTCGATGGGTCACTTCACGCATGAGTATCAAAACGCTGCGCACTTTCGCCATCGTGCTCCTGGCTTTGACGTGTCATGGGATTCTGAAGGTTCAAGATGCCTTTGGCGCACTTAGCGCATATAGGTAGTAGTGTTTGGCCGTATGGAATTTTTTAGTAGATGAATGAAGTTTGATGAGAGAAAATGTATGCTGGTTCCATTTCAGGAATGGCGCCCAATCGTCGAGTCAACTCGAGTGAAATTCGTCTACGACGGTCCATATCTTTGCTCATCTGATCATTCAACAGATCCAATGTGGCGAGACAGCGGCATTTATACCTGCATAGCCGCCAACGACGCTGGCCAAGCGACCACCTCGTGCTCGATTACTGTAGAAGGTACACAGCCTATCTAAAAGTCGCTGATAACCAATACGAGATTTTTTATAGCATCATACTGTTGCGACATCTTAACTTTTTTTTGACTGAGATTATATTGATTCTGGGCTATCGGAAGTCATGGGTCTATATGGTGGACAAGCCTAGGGGGGTGGAAGTCGGGAGAAATGAGAATTGCTCATCGTACCCAGGTTCTCTACCTCGTCTAACTGCATAGTCATCTACGGAAAGAGGTGTTTTACGGCCGTTTTTATACATTGACGACCACATATATCTTGTATCTTGCGATTAGCGCGCATATTATATCTTCACTGACTAACGAATGACGTGGTTGCGGGCTGAGTTTCACACCGGGCGAGGAGCTTAGAAGAAATCGGTGTCATGTGTGATTTGTGATGCTTTTGATGCTATCCGAGGTCCCCCTTGTTACTTAGTCTGTAATTACGACCCGTATCGACGCAGGAATCGCTGTGTGTTTGTCACAGTAGGACCTATTCCAGTGGAGGCACTAATCAAAAGACATATGCAAGAAATTTTTTCCTAATGCAATAAGAACCTTACAATAGTTTAAAGGATTGTTTTTGTCCCAAGAATGGTGGGACATGGGCAAAGCTCCTAGTCTTAGTTGGGAATCGATAAGGCGATAAGCATTTATTAAGTATTAAAACTTTACCTTGAGAAAGCATTCTGTAACATTTTCGAAAATCTGAAACGGAAAAGAGTTCCGGTTTCGCCTTGAATGTTTCCCATTTCCGAAGTTTACTTGGTACGGAATTGCCCCATGAGGCACATATTTTTGTTCATAGAACGGTTGTGAATGGGCAGACTTTTGGCAGTTTTGTTGGGATGTGAAAATCTTAGAACACCAAAAGAGTGACAGTTTCTAACTTCCAATCGTTGACGTTTTTCGCGACTTCGGGTGTCGCCTTCGATTTCCGAGATGCCCTGTCCAGCTAAAGGTACGAGAACAGCGTCTGCGATGGTATGGGCATGTGCTAAGGAGGCCACAGGACCATCCGATAAGAACAGCGATGGACTTCGAAGTACAAGGCAAGCGACCGCGAGGAGCCCCGAAGAAAAGGTGGAAAGACGTGAATCAAGAAGGACCTAGGTGAGGTCGCGGCCACGATGGAATATGATGCCCTTTCAGTTTACCGCAGCTCTTCTCTTACTTATTTATAATTAATACTGTGATTTCAAGAACGTAGTTTGATTGTGTTTATTTTCCAAGGCATTTGCTTAATGACGACTGATTTCAGCTGATGGCGATTTCAACGACGTCGAATTGCCGAAGAAGCGAGCGATGGTGGAGGCGCGGAAGATTCGTGAAATTTACGAGATTGCTGAAGAAGACGAAACGTGATTCATTCGTTCATCGTCATGTATATGTATAGACAAGATAGATATACAAACAACAAACAAACAACAAATATATCTCGATATGTGTATGCACGTGTGTATATGTGTGTATGTGCTACGTGCCGCCGCCGCCGCCGCTCATCATTCTGCTCCTCTTCTGCCGAATTATCGCTCTTGATCCGATGCTTGATCGCTGCTATAGCGCTTCTTCTTATATGATGCCTTTCGTGATGTGATGCGATGTATTGTTGACGTTCTGGTATTTTTGCTCCGCCTCCTTCATAGTTATATCGATTAGTGTAGATCAAATACACGCGCATCATTCTTTCTCTATCCGAACATCTATATCTTCTCCTATCGTCTCGTCGTAAGTGGTCGCTGACTGAGTTTGCCGGAGACGCGACGCGTGGGTGGCCGGCTGGTCCTGCAACGATTCCCGCCATCGCCATCACCCCACGTTCACTTCGCCGCGTCTGCCTCACTTTTTCGTCTACACATCTCTCTTATCACATATTTTCTATTTTTTTTTCAAAAATTTGCTCATTTTGTATTTACAAATGTTCGCTATTGTACAGCCATCACACTGCTTCATTTATTCCCTTTGATTTGTATAGAAATCGATTGATTTGTGGTTTTTCTCAGGAGCTGTGTGATGGTTAGTTCTGATTCTGGTCATGTGTGCCTGAGCGAGTGCGCTTGCGCCCGGCCGCGCAGCGCCTCGTTGTGGTCAATCAATAAAGTCAACTAATCAATATATGTCCGTGTCAGTCCATGTGATATAACACGAGTTGTCGCTATCGTGGAGCCTCACCGATATCGATTTATTGATTAGTTCTCCACGAAGGCGACAACCAACATGTCCTTGCGTGCGTGTACGGTGGTTTTCGATCGAGTCGAAGAGGAATTCACGTCGTTTCTGGCTCCTCCATCAGTCACTTCCACTTCACTCGAGGGTACGGTAGGACGGATCGTGTGCATTTTCGCGTGTTGCATCGGTCTCCATCATCAGATAGAAGACAGAAATCAACTATGTATGATGCACTGGCACCAGAGTGACGGTACTATTCTATCGTGTGTAGAACGAGTGCGAATCTAATTCTTTTCATCAATCAATAGTAGAATCAATAACATTTTCTGATGGATCGATAGAATAGAACCGTTTCTCTGGACAGAGGAAAGGACGACCAATGCAAACCACGAGCGAGGAAGCGCACAAGCCGTCGGCCGCACTGCGAATACCGCCTAGTCCTGTCGAAAAAGTGCCGACCAATCGCCACGCGACACGTCACACATGCACATACCGTACTCCCTGTCGATTATCGACGGAGCGCGATATGTTCAGGTGTTACGGGTGCACGGAGGCATTGCTGGCAGTTGATGACTGATGGCGGTATTTGCAGGTTGGCGACCACCGGTGCACCGTTTTGGGTGAAGGAGCGCAGGACTGGCGATGAATTCTTGGCTCAGTTGAAACCACTTGATGACGCGCTACAACGCAATGTGGACATGTACAACACCGTTGACCATGAGAATATCGTACGATTCCATGAGGTCGTCAAAGACGAAAAGCTGGCCATGGTCGTTTATGAGGAGTGAGTCGTGCAAATTTCTGAAATAATAAGTTGTATTGAAGAAAAAATGATCACAGTCTGTCACAAAATGGTGAAATCGTAGTGGTCGATTCAGCTTGCTTAATATTAGCATTTGGTGGTCCCTTAAGTCCTGACTGGACTATTTAAACACGTCTATAAATTTTAGGAAAAGTTGAGTCGAAAAGTAAAAAAGTCAAAAGTGAAAGTCGGGCATGTGGCGCATCCAGGAATAACCTAGAGCAGTGTCGAATGCTTTAGTTCCTTCCCCTAAAAAATGGGTTCTGAAGCTTTTTCGAAATTCTCGAAGAATTCTGTGAAAAGGCATAGAGCTAGTACCTACTGAATGAACCGAAGAAATATTTTTTATGAAAAGGGCGGAAGTGGTGTAGTGGCAAGTGGCACGCTTACCACGCGAGCGGTCCGGGGATCAAATCCTGGGTCGTGAGTCGCCCGGGCCAACCAAGCCTTCCATCCCTCCGGGGTCGGTTAATTGGTACCAGACTTGTCTGGGAGGATAAAAACACTGACTTGTACATCGGCTGGCCCCCGCAAGTCATTGTATAGGCCACATCGCATTCAAACGCCACTACGAATGTACAAATGGAAGTAGAATGCGTGCCGCATCCCAAAAAGGGATTGATCAACGGCAAATGCTTTATCCTTATTTTTATTGTTATTCATCCGAGAACGACGAAGTTGGAACTTGGTTCAAGTTTACGCAGATTCTGAGCGCACGATCCGTGCTAAATCCGAACAGAACACGCCAGGCAAACCTCGGGCCTTCACCCGTCGATCAGACAAACTCTCGCATCTGAAGGCGTTTCCTTTGTGCCAGACTTGTCTGGGTGATTAAAACGCAACAATTGCAATTGGGAGGTTCTGCGAACATTGTGTAGGTCATGCCGCAGTCATATGCCGCTTTACGATTCTGAATAGAAGTAGAATACATGGCGCGTCCTAAAGTGGGCTGATTTACGTCGAGTGCTTCATCTCTTGTCCATTATTCTCCAGAGAGCGGAAATATTATGGATTTCAACTCCATGTTTGATCATATGATTATATATCTCTCAAAACTAATATTTTTGTTGGAAAATTTTGGATTTACGTGTGATCAGGCTACTTTTTGACATTACCACTTCACGAAAAAGGCAGGTTTTTTTCAAAGAGGACACTCTTCTAGCCTCTCGCCTAACTGCTTGCGACTCTAGTTTAAATTAGTAATAATTTTATCAAATTATGGGTCCCAACAATGCCCCGACGTCGATCAGGGACCTAGGTATCGTGCGTTTCAGGTTGTGTACATATGAGTTTTTGAAACACCAATGCTTTTTCGAAGTACTTTCCTTCAATCCAGGGGAATTATACAATATTTCACATTTAGAGAGTCAGTGTGAGAGGTTGAAATTTTCAAAAGTCGATTGATTCGTGTAACTAATAAGAACTGTCAGTTATCAAGAAAAAATACCTAAAAAACGCTGTAGAGAGTGACCGAGAAAAAAGAATGCCATCAGCTCTGTTTGTTCGTACTTTCGCTTTAACGGGAGTACCGTGGTACTTTGCGCATTTTCTCCTAATAACAGCGTTTTGAGTGTCGTATCACAAGCTCATCGACGACCTTACTCCTGTTCATCTTTACCCCGCGATTTCATGTTTCTATTATATGGTTGGTTTTTGGCTCCTAGTGTAACTTTTTTGCTGTACTTCTTTGCGGCGTGTCCCACGATTGGTTCAAGGGCACGATTCTTTTTGGATTGGATGTACGATTCTTTCTGGTAGGATGACTGGTTAACCAGCAAGCTAAGGGTACTAGGGAAAATTCTTGCACTTTTTGTTCTCCATTGATTTCGACGAAATCTTTAAAAATTACCGTTACACGTGGTCTATATGTAGTTGCTGGAATGTGTGAAATGATTATCTCAAGATCCAAGTCTTCTGGGCATACAAGAGAGGAATTTGGGAGAATTTGGGTGTCGAAGCTTTAATTTTAAAAGTGGTTTCTGAAGCGCACTAATGAACAGTATCATCACAACAAGTAAAAGCTCGAGTATTGTGGCACGGCGGCCATCCCACATGAGTCAGGGGCACGAGATTCTTGCTCAAAGTTTATACTAGTCACAATACAGCTGCATGTTTGCATAATGGGGGCTTTGAAATCGGACTATAATTGCGATTTTTTGTCTTTATGCGCGAAAGTACATAAGAGGAACTCATTTCGTTGATAATCTCGCGGCACTTTAAAGTTGCGCTGGAATACACCTTATCAGCTAAAAGTCCGACTCTCCAACTGTCATGGAATGTGAACTGGTCTCTTGAAATTTAACACCACTCGGTGCTAAACTGCCAGATCGATCGTCATAGCCGGGTTGTAACAAACTTGCTCGGGTCAATCGTATTGTATGTATACTGGAATCTTTTATCGATCTCGAGACTGAATTAGGAAAAGTTGGGTTTCTTATCACCCTCAGACACGGAAACTGTTTTCAGAGACATATAAATCTATATTGATATAAAATGATAAAGGACTAAACGGCGTTAAGTGATCCGTTTGGGAATGCCACACGCGTTCTGATTTCATTCGAAATCGCGGCAGCAGATTTGGAATGCGGTATGGCCCATACAACTGCGGAGCCAGCTGATGTACAAATCAGTGTTTTACCACCTGGAATGTCAAGCGCCAAGTGATGGGCCCGGAGGGGTGGAAGGCTTGCTTTACTTGAGCAAAGTGACTCAAGTCTTGACCCCCTTACCGTGCGCTAGGGAAGTAGCGTAGTTCGCCTCCATATACACCACCTCCGCTGCGGTGTTCACATAAACCACCAAATCGCCTAAATACGTGGGAAATACTCAACGTGACACTGTGAGAACCAGTCTTCAAGCTGTCAAGGACTCAGCAGTTACTTCCACATCTTATAGGCTGTCAAGTTCGTTATCGCACTTACCCTTAGACCGTATTTCCATAACTGTTCTTTTGACAAAGTATGAAGCAAGTAGTTGGTGTTCTTAATCTCCTCTTGGTTACGCCATGCATCCTGGATCCGTTGGTGAACCAATATTCGCTAACGAGCTTTGGGAGGTGCTTTTCTGGACAAATTCCTATCTTTCTGAACGAACGTGTGCCGCACCAGAAACCACTGCTGCTATCCTATACGCCGTGAAACGGGAACTTCTAATAGATATATACGATAAATAGTTCGAGTACGTATAGTAAGATATATGTAGGTTTAGGTTTCTTGAGGATACTCGAATAGTATTTTTGGCTCCATCTGATGAAAATACTTCTATTAGCTTTTCATTTTTTATGAAATTCGCTTTGTTTCAGCAAAAGAGCCAACATTCACATAACAATATATTATCTACTAGTAATGAGAGTATGTAGTGATTGAATGGACTTTTTTATATCAAATCTATCGCA